CAGCCCTGCTGGAGCTCAGCCAGCCTGCAGAGCACTTTGCAAAAGCAGGGAATCCACAGGTTTTCCTCCTAAAAAGGAGGGATCTGTATTTTCTCTGATAAAAAGGGGAAATTCTTGGTTTTCCCCATTTTTCCATGGGAAATGGAAAACCTGGATCCCTGGTTATAACTACGGGTGCACAGAGATTTTTGGGGCCAATACTGATAACCAATTTTTAAGGAGGAATACTGGCTGATACTGATCCAATTTCCGATATGCAGCCCGGCAGCTTGAAGAGCAGTGTCTGGCTGGTAATTCTGTTGTCGTGGACAGGGAGAGGGAAGAGAAGGGGTGTGGCGGGGAGCAGATCAAGGCCCCTGTGGTGAGGGAGGGAGTAGGGCTGGTGCTGGGGCAGCTGCTGCCCAGCCAGGGTGGGGCATGGGACAGAGTCACAGCTCATCCAGGGGGCACAGGATGGGGGTGGACCCAGGAGGGTATGGGGGCCACGTGACCCCAGATCAGTGTGCAGGGCAGACTGCTACTGCAGGCTAGAGCCAGGGGCGGCACTGGACTCTTCCCAGCAGGGGCTGGGCCAGGCTGTGCTCAGGACAGGTGACAGCAGCGCTGGGAGGGGAGCTACAACCACCCCAAAATTCACCATAGCCCCTCCCCCCCCCAGTCCTCCCTCCCAGCACTGTCACCTGCCCTGCTCCAAGCACAGCCTGGCCCAGCCCACACCAAGAAAAGCCCAGCGCAGCCCTGGCCCCAGCCCACAGTGGCAGCCTGCCCCACCCCACACACAGATACAGGGGCACACAACCCCCATGCCCTCTAGGGTGTACACAACAGCAGGAGCCACCACGCCCTCCCCGCGCCTCCTATATGAGCTATGGCTCTGTCCCGTGCTCTGCCCTGACTGGGCAGCACCTGCCCCAGCCCCACACCCTCCCTCACTGTGGGGGCATTGATCTGCCCTCCCCACACCCCTTTCCTCCCACCACAACAGACTTACCAGCCAGATGCAGCTATCCAAGCTGCCGAGCTGCGTTCCTCATCACCTACATGCCGCGCTAAGGTTGTGCACACACGGAGCATTTAAATCAGCCACATCGGGCCAAAAAAGCCAATTTCTCATATAGTCAATTTTCTCTATATCGGTGCCAATCTGATAATTGGGCCAATGCATCAGTGCACCTCTAGTTATAACAATCTACTGATACACTGTGGAAAATGGAAAGCAGTGAAATGAAACACTGTTGGAATCATCTTTTGAAGAAGCACAAAACACACAAATAGCACTGATTCATACAAGTCAAAGCATGAGGAAGAGAATTCAAATTTAGAAAAATTTTAGTAATTCTGATAATGAGTGAAGCTCACTAGTTCTGTGCTTTGCACCTGTCTTCCGATCACTGACATATATAGTACAGAACGACTCACCTGACTCAATATCTTCTATAGGAGAGTTAGAATTCTGTAAGTAAGTGAAATACCAGTCAATAACCTGAACAAGAGCCACCAAACCTCTTCACCTGTAGGTTTCCAAATTGATTTTATTTATCTAAGTTTGGCCTAAATATTAAATTAAAAAAAACCAACAACCCCTCCCCCCCAAAAATTAAGAGCATTAGAAAAGTTGAAAAATTTTAAAGGGGAAAAGAAAACTAATTTTCAAACAAAACATTTATTGTAGTTCGTAAAATTTAAGCATTGCAGCACTAAGACACTGAAATGAAAATGAAACTAACATAACTGATTTTCATTGCCTAAGACAGGTTAACGCATTCACTGGATTTAAATTTAAAGTATTTACTGATTCTAAATCAGAGGCATGTTTACAACTTCAGTGGATTATATTTCTTTAAGGTATCACTTTGCAAGATTTGTACACATTTGAAAGTTTAAGCTGAACTTAACTTGCTATTCTTATACATGTGATGTATAACTAACCAAACAGTCACTTGAACATTAAAAGTTCTTCCCCCACCTCAGCTGCTGTACATAGGTCATTTGTCTCGAGTACAAAAAACAGTATCCAACTGTACCCCTCCTTAATCACGGCCTTACAGATAAATAAATCCAAAAAGAACACAGAACGAAAATATATAATTTTATTATCCAAGAAAGATTACTTGGCTACCCATGATCTTGGAGTTTAATCTGCATTCATATCAAAGCTAAGCACAGGGTGAGACAAGAATCTTACACATGCCCACGTTATAGTTATTTTAACCAAATTAGTTTTTACTTTATTGTAAAACTACACAAAATTGTTCTTTCAAAGTCAATTGACACAGAGTACATGTGAAATCATACCTTAATTGACAGCTCTCCAGAAACTGAATGCGAGGAGGGTGGCTGTAATTAAACACATCACCATAGTTTATACTGAAAAAGAACTGCATTTTGGAGTTAAAAAAAACAAAAAAAACCAAACAAACACAACTTCCCCAAAAACCCACCACCACATACCTTTGCTCTAACATATGCTTTTCTTATTTTTAATCCTAGTTTCTGAGCAAGTTCTTGAGTTAGCTTTATAACACTTTCATCCTAAAACAAATATAATTATATATTTAAACACACATACACAAAAAAGATGTATAGACTAGCCTAAGGAAAAACAATACAGCTGGTTGGCACCAGAAAATCATATGGAAATTATGATAATATTCTTCCCTCTCTCTTTTTAATTCAAAACAAGTAGTAAACATATGCCAAGAACCAAGTTCAAAAGACATCTCGTTTTAGCAAGGTCAGTTCATAGATAAAACATAACAGTTTTCCAGTTAGAAAATGTATATGTTTCATAAAATTTAACAAAATATTTTTTTTAGTTATGGAAACTGAACACAGCATTTCTATTACCATTTCAACTTTTAAAAGATCATTGCTGAATAGTTAATCTGAACTTAACAATTTTTTAATCTTTGGCAATGAATTATCATGCATCTGGAAGGGTTCAACTAAGAAAAAGAAAAATCTGTTCTTATTTCAATCAGCCCTAGTTATTGCAGATTGAAGATACCAGCCATTATTTAGAATATTTTCTAACAGTCTGAAGCTCAGTTTTCATAATATGCCATGCTGATTTGTAATAGTAATGACAGATTGACTTTAAACTTTATGCCAAGACGTTCAAACACAGGTGCCTGAAGTTAGGCTTCTAATCCAAATTTAGACATCCAAGCACACTGGTGTAATTTCAGAAGAGTTAGTGTCTCTAGGCTTATAAATTAAGAGGTAATTGTGTGGGTGCAGCACTTCCAAATTTCTGGTCATGTGGCTTGAATTTCTGTTCATGTGATCCATACTTTGATTTTAATTTTGAATTGTGTGTCCAAGATAAAAATTGTATATTGCTATGAGAAAAAAAAAAAAAAAAAGAATCAGATGGTAAAAGGAGTAACCATTCAACACAAACAGAGGAAGAGGGAAGTCATTCATTAAAACTACTGGAATTAGGTGGAGGTGCGAATACTGAGTGTGACAGGGAGCAATCTCCCAGGCCTGGTCACAGTACCAGCCTGCTTGCCTGTCCAGGGCAGTCTGCCTAAACTTGCTTGCCACACCTTTGATGTAAAGTAAAATGGTTGTAATAAGGCAGGAGGTTGCCCGTTTAAGACCCCAATGCCTAGGGGTTCGCACACGACTCCAACCTTCCCTTACAGTTTTCCATACCTCCCAAATGTCATCCTTGAGTTGCTCGATGATCCGGCTCAAGGCCAGGCCAAACTCAGCCCCTTGCTAGGCCTCATACATTCATCCGTTCTCTTTGCCCCAACAGGCTTCACTCATACCACTCACTCTCACTGGGCCTCTCTCACACTGCCCCACACGGGGCCACACTCAGCCTGCCCTGCTCCCTTGAGCAGCTCCTGTAGGCCTACATGCACTCCTTGGCTGGCCCTGGCACAACCTCTCGGGCCTCTCCCATGACCCCTTATGTTGACCGGTCAAGGGATCAGAGAGTTAGCCTAGCACCTGCTGCCCTCTGTGGACAACAAGGGTCCCCCTACAGGCCTCACCCTAGAGCCAGCACCCCAATCCAGGATGCCCTAGTGTCCCGGCAACGTGGCGTGAGGCCTAGTTCTCCTGGGCTCCCCCGAGTCCAGACCTCACCCTTGCCAGATCTAACCTGAGGCTTGCCTGGCCCCTTTGTAGGCCTGCAAGCTGTGAGCCCCACCGCCAGGGTGAGCCCTGCTCTAATTAGGCCCCAACCTGCTTCCTGGGGCTCAGGACCCCACTGGGCCCTCTAGGAACCTCCTGCCATCCTCATAGTTCCTCCCTTACTGCCAATGTGTTGTGAGCAGCAGCTCAGCTGGGTGTTGTTGCTCCTTTGGCTGCTTGAGGCATACTGCTGCCCCAACCCTGGGAGCCCGGATCTAAAATGGCCGCCTTATCGGGGCTAGCCTGCACCTGCCAGCTGCCTGCTCTCAGCCCTTAAGGTGACAGACTTTCCCCCTTAAAATGGCTACCAGGGGCAGGGTGTCTCTCTGCTGCTCACCCTGCAGGCTCATCCATCACCTGCAACAGCCCACTCAGTGGCAAGCACCCCAATGGTGCTCTACCACACCAAGGATGAAGACAAAAAGGGTTAACTTGACTTAAGCAGAGCACAAAAATCCATCAGGAAGAAGACTCAACAGGAACTAAATTGTTATTACATTCCTGGGGAAAAGAATGCTCAAAAGGCAGCTACTTTTTATCCTCATGGCAAAAGTAAACCACCCAGATTTTAATAAGCTTACTTGATTATAAGACACTTAAAATATTTTAAGGAAAAGACATTTGAAAAATTATTTGAAAAAGGAGGAACTAGAGATTTTTCAAGTAAGACTGGTAAGTCTGAAGGATAGGGAAACATGCAATCTTCTCTCAGATATGAATCCTACAAGATCTAGAGCCCTCTTAATTACTGGTGACACTAATGGAAAATTAAAAAGAGGTGCTCCTCACATTGCAGGAAAGAGATAGCACCACAGTGGAGGTCTCCACTTTATACATTTGACTTTTTTACTACTAAAGAAAAAAGATGTGGTAAGCTAGACCATTATTTGTATCTTTATTAATTCTATTTCCATTTTGGGTATTACCTTTCCATGTTAAAAATGACTGCAGAGTAAATCCTATACTACATGTGAACCAAATGTTTTAATTATTTTTCACAATGCATTAAACAACTACTCAGTAAAATGCTGTACTTTACATTCTAAATCCCATAAATTTTTTTAAATGAAGTTGTGTGTTACTATTGGGGTAACCCCTTTTGTCAACCCACATTGACAACCCCTTTTCCCTTGGGGTTGTCAATACCACCTGACTAGCTGTACAGAAATTCTAACAGTAGCTAATTTATTGGTTCTAGAATAAGATTCTTAAAAAAACTGAACTTTTAGCAAAAAAGCACTGTTTTCTTTCCTGAAAATATTAAGGCATCTTCAGATTGCTGCTACATGGGAGTGGGGAGAAGGGGAGAACGGGCTGGTATTTTTGCTAACAACAGATCTCCAAGCTTAAAAGTCGTACAACGCATAACAAAACAAGAATATTTTACTACGTAAAACAAAACAATGTTTTTGAAAGGTCTCATTTGCAATTTACTTACCTGTGGTACAGCTAGGGAGCATTTTGCTACAGCGTCATAAGCTTTCTTATACCTTCCTAATTCATTTAAGGCTTTGGCTTTCCAATATAGAGCTCTGAAGTTATTGTCATTCAACCTTAAAGCTATCTCACAATCTTCTAAAACTTTTTCATATAATCCCTATGAGCAAAGTGGAAAAAAAGTAAGGGCTTATTCAGTAAACACATCCCTTTGTCACTGCAACAAGATTCAAGAAGTCTACAGTTAAACCAAAGTAACAAAAAATGCACACCGCAATTGCCAACTTGGCTTTAACCCCAAACTAGCTTGAAGTACGGTGTAATCAGATTGTACCTATAAAGACTTTTGCTGAAGTTTTTCAGATAAGCATCATCCCAATGGCCTTAGAGACAGAAAGTGAAAGTGGTGATGCTATCATTCACATTTCTCAGAGAACCACATCTAAGACACTGAGAGGTGGAAGTCACTACTCATACAAACCGGATGGATGAACCAGCTGCTCTGTTAACCTCAGAGCTCAGTATGACCACTTTATGTTAGTAAAATTCTAGAATTATTCCCTGAAAATATCTGGTGGCTTATTCATTTAAAGATATAGGATTAAGCATCTTTGATAAGCATCAAATCATAATATTCAAGATTTCCAAACAATTAACAGGAATGCATTCTCCACTAAGTAATTTTCTGTGGCATATTTTAATATACTCTCTCTGAAAAATAGGAAAACTTAAAAAGCTTACCATATTTGAAAAACATGCTATCCGATTCACATGCAGTTTCTCTAATATTTCACTGGGGATGTGAATATCTTCAGAATTCGCATAATCTGCTACATTTATAGCTTCTGTATAGTGGCTCAGTGATCCTCCCCAATCTCTCTCTCGGTATGCATCATTCCCTTCATTAAAGAGATTTCTAACAAGTTCTCGTATAAATAACTGGAACAGAGAAATACACATCAATACAAGTAATTCCTGCAAAGATTTGATGCGTTTAACAGTGTAGGAATTTTCTACCAGGAAGTTATTGGAAAAAAACTTACATAAAAGGGTTTGGTTTCTGAACATAAAAAATATAAAGAAAAGAAGAGGTAGTAAACAATGTTAATATAAACAAACTTCTGGTATACCCAATACTAGAGGTGCACCAATACAATCGGTCCGATATCGGATCGGTACTGATATAAATAAAATTGGCTGTATCAGAAATTGGCCCAATGGGGCCAACAAATGCCCGTGCATGCGCCCAGCCACAGCGCAGCACGCAGGCAGGGAGGAGCAGAGCTCAGCAGCAGGGAGAGCTGCCTCCAGCTGGTAAATCCATTGTGGTGGAAGAGAAGGAGGGAGGGAGGAGCGTGGGGGGGGAATATCAACCCCCTCACCCCCACCCCTGCGGTGAGGGAAGGGGCAGGAGCAGGCACTGCCCAGCCAAAGCAGGGTGCAGGATGGAGGTGTGGCTCAGCTGGGGGAAGGGAGGGAGTATATGCTTCCAGATTTGTGCAGGGCAAGTGGGCGGGCTGCAGCTGCAGGCTGGAGCCAGGCTCTTCTCGCCGGGGGCTGGGCTTAGAACAGGGGCTACAGAGGAGGTTGCAGCCACCCTAAATTTCACCACAGCCCCACTCCCAGCACCACCATGCGCCTAGCATAGCCCTGGCTGAAACCCTACCTCCTCCCATGTGGGGCACATAATGGAGGCACAGCTCGGGGCGGGGCAAGGCGGGGGGGCTCCCTCCCAGTGCCACCACTGCCGCATGCCCACCATAACCCCAGCAGCTGGGCTACAGCAAAATGTGGGGTGGCTGCAGCCCCCTCCATAGACCCTGCTCTGAGCCTAGCCCCCAGCAAGAAGAGCTCTTCTCCAGCCTGCAGCTGCAACCTGCCTGCTCACCCTGCACACGTCTGGGGACCCAAACCACCCCCCCTCCACCCTCCTGGAGTGCAAGTAGCGGCAGGAGCCACACACCTCCCACACCGGATGAGCCGCACCTCTGCCTCACATCCCATGCCCTGCCCCAGGTAGGCAGCACCTGCCCCTGCCCCCTACCTCACTGCAGTGGGGGGGGGTTGATCTGTCCCCGCCACACCCATTCCCTTTCCCTCCCCCCAAACCACAACAGACTTACCAGCTGAAGGCAGCTCTCCATGCTATATCGGAAACTGGATCAGTATCAGCCCCAAAAATCTCTATCGGTGCACCCCTACCTAATACCCTAGAATTTAGGCATAATTGTACAAATGCAACCACTGATAACCAGTTATTTTATTACATAAGAACAGGCAGAAAGCATAGAAATAATCATTTGTTGCAATCATGACTGCATCAGAGATTTCACACTGCTGAACAAACAACAGAAGTGTACAACAGCTATTCTCCGTGAACAAGATAAACTCTTATTTTGTACTTGAGTCTCAGAAGTGATAAGCTATGAATGAGCAAGTATTTGATCAAGCTTCTGCTCTCAAACATAATGAAATTATCTACTGTCTGGACCAAACCATTGAGAAAACAGTTGAATACAAACAAGACCCTGAAACCCGCTGCCATTTATCTACAACTGCAGGTAAGATGCCATATAGTTTTGCACAAAGGAGATATTCCCTCCAGCCTAGGTATCAAAGTGCCAACCTAATTTAGTATCCAAATGTATGGCCTACATTAGATTGAACATCAGTTTATTTGAGTTCTTATGGGCATTTATATATTTACATATGTGCACTAGAGGACTTGGATGTTCATGTTTTATTACTCCAATCTGAAATCTCAGTATTAAAGACAGTACAAATGTCATTCATATCCCAATACATACTTAACTGCTGGTTTCATACATGCATAGAAAAGATTTCCATTTATTACAGAATCTTCCCAATATGGTGATTATTTCATTACCTCATACTGTTCTTGCGTCCCTGGATAGGGCAAAGTTGACCTGGGAACAAAAGAAATAATTTTAGAAAGACATAATAGTCCAAAAGATAATCATACAAGGTATCATACTGGGCCCTACAAACTTCAGCCTATAGAAATCTCACACGTTCCTCAAGTCCTATCTATTACAGGGTGGCCAAACTTAACCCTTCTAGCCACAAACTAAAAAATTTGACATAGCCGAGAGACACAAGATGTGCATCTCAGAAAGTTTACATGCCCTAGAATCAGTGACCTATCTGGAGTGGAGAGAAAAGTGATAATATAAATTTGGCTTTTCAGGAACCACATTTAAACTGGGCAGGGATCTCACACAGTTCATGGGCTTCTATTTGGCCACCCATGGCATCTACTGCGTGTGCTCAATTGAATGAGATATAGCTGGCGGGGGCGGGGAGGGGGGTAAGAGGAAGGGAGACACTCCCAAAATTCTAACTGGAAGGCTTCAGCAACCATAATGTTCTTTTAACATAGGCTAGGTACAGGCATTACACATACACTAATATAAATGATCCAAAACCAGCCTAAATCTGTAACAGAACAGAAGTTCAGCACACAGGTTGGTTTAAAACTGATGAGGAATCCATTCTAAGATAGACCTAGATGGATATAGTATCAGATTTAATCAGTTTAAACTAAATCAGTCCATCAAACTTCTGTACTACATCCCCTCTCACAGTCTCCCACCATCCCAGGTTGCTTTGCAGGTCCCTGCTAACCTCCCCTCACAGGGCAGAACGCTAGTCTGCTCCGGCTGAGCGCCAGGCCAGCCCCATCCCTGGGCTGTCACACAAACAGCCAAGGCCAGAAGTCAGGAGGAGCTCTGGAACACCTCCCAGCATGGCCTCTACCCAGCACCATGCCCCTCCCACCAAGCTGTGCTTGCTTGGGTCTGGGGGGAGCTGGGGCCAGTCCCATGCGGCAGGAGCCTGCATGCCCCACCCCCATGCCACTGCCCAGCTCAGCTGACAGCTGCATGCAGCACTCAGCCCCAGTTCCTGCCTGCCCCTATCAGCCAAGCCAGGCAGTGGAACCGGGCGAAAAGCACAGGGGAAGGCAGGGGGTGGGGAAGGGAACAGAGGCCCTGCCACATGTGCCTGGCCCCAGGCCCTCCCAGACCCAAGCAAGCACAGCTGGGGGAGAAGGGCTGCATATGGCTAGGGAGAGAAGCTGTGCTGCAAGGCATGCAAGAGCACCCCCCACCTTCTGGCCTTGACAGGCATCTGTGCCCCCCCCCCCGGTCCCCAAAGGGCAAACATGTGTTCTGTTTGTTCACAGTTTGATCTATACAGCTTAGAAGAACCCATGCAGATTTGATCGATTCTACCTCAAGCTTTTTGAACGTCCGTACCTAGCCATAGTCATTTCTCCTTCCTGCTCACTCACATGTTCAAGGTTTTGGAGCCCCCTGTCACTCTCCCCTACATCTATAATTGTATCACATAGAATCCCACACACTGACCAGTTAAGTTTTGTACACCAGCAAAGAGCAGAGAATCATTTCACTCGAACTCAGGGTAGCACTGGCTACCTGAAGCAGAGATTTGTGCTATCACCAAACAGTGGCAGCCCAAAGAATACTTTAGAATATAGTAGAGATCACTTATTGCTGCACCAAGAACATGGGGCAGTCTGGAAGCAGAAAAAGTCCTCTCTGCCAAAAACGGGAAAGAGAAAGCACAGAAGAGCCCAATGGATTTGCTTCAGGTAGCAAGCCTGCAGTGTTGGGACACCCTATTCTTCTCAATGATGTCTAGACAAGACTGCTGTTTCCCACAGCAGCTCTTCTAATCTGCATGTTGCCAGAAGGATAGGTGAAAAAAACAGGGCTTGTATCTTCTTTCTGAGACTCCTCTTCCATTCCAATTCCAGGCAGGAGTAAGCAAATATCCTACCAAGGTAAGGCTGAGGATGCAGGGTCTTCTCCCTTCTCCCACAAGTGTATTATTAAAAGGTTTATACGAGTGCTCCAGCTATATAAACAGGAAATTAACTCTGCATTTAAGAACAGAAGATTACTCTGCATCTACTATGCACAGCTGTGGACAAGCACTCCCCAGTGACACACGATCACATAACATTTTAGAGCACAGCCGAACAAAAATGCGTGAAGGTCAGTCATAAGAGCTTACTGTATAAACTGCAGCCCTTTTTTAATGTCCTGTTGTCTGATACTTCTGTCTTCCAGTACATTGGACATGTTATCCAGCACATCCACTTAGTAGACGTATAACTTTCTGAAATAGAAGAACAGACATACAGCTGTTAATATGGTCCACTTCCTATGATATTTTTCTCCGGACCAGAAGGATAAAACCTACACCAATTCTATACTTAATTCTGATACTGCACTGCAGCATAAGGGGGGGAAGCCATTTTTCAGACAATACAGTAAAGTGAGGTTCTAACAGCAACTGGGGGCAGGAGGAAAGGAGGTGAATGACAGAAGCAAGCCCTGTCCAAATCTCCACCTCCCCCAACCAATACACAATTGTGTGCAACAATTTTTACACAGAAACTCCAAACCAATTTCCAATTTTATTCCTTTCAACCAACTGACGTGGATGGTCCTCCACACACATCACTTTTAGGTTTGTTGGTGCCACTATGAAAAAACACTCTATGGAACAGCTGCATGTGCCATAATGCCTAAAAGAAAGAAGAATTGTATATACTACAACAGGTTCCTATTGCCAACAATTCTCCCAGTAAAAGAGGAACAAGAGAAGGAAAATTCATATTCAGTCAGTCAGGAAGTAATGCAAGTAAGTAAAAGGATTCTCCTTATTTGCTTATTAAACAAGTTGTGCAACAAACCTGTATGTGAACAGAAAGTAATTTGTACTAGTTTGTTATAGTACTTAAAGGCACAGAATACATAGTTTGCAATATTTCACTCTGCAGTGACAAAAGAGACCAGCCTTTAATTTTAAAAAACACCAAGACCTAAGTTACTTAAAACAGATTTATGAAATTTAATCAAAATATGCCACCGAGGAACTGTATTTATTTACCTATTATACAACTATTTCAAAAGCTGCCTACCATACCAATGGCAACTGCTTCATGTTCCTATGAATAAGTTTGTTATATCTTTTCAGGAGACCAAACGATAACTTAAAAGCAACGATATATGCCATTGTATATTTTATTTTGCTGTAGTTTGTACTGAGCACATAGCAATAGTCTGCTTATAATAATGAACTTGAGTAACATTTTTAAAGAGCACATCAGTCATTTTGGAGCCCAAGATTAACGGATTTTCAAAAAGACTTAATTTTTTTTAGAGTTTTACTCAATATCTGCTAAACATATTACAAACTATACTCTTAATACTCGGGTGCTTTATCCCACTGAAAGTGTCTACGTGCTTTTTGAATGGTTCAAAAAAACCTTAAGCAGAACCGCACTGCATTACATACAGGATTCCTGCTCATTGATCTAAACATACAGAAAGCCACACAAACAAAAAATATTTTTTTCCTGTCTACAATCCAGTCTTACAGATGAGCTATATTTAGTTTCATTGCCATAAAATCTACAAGTCACTTCATATGACAACATTCAAAATAATTCAAATCTCTCATCCAACAACTTCAATATAACTATATCAACATCTGGAGGGCTGTTCTGGGGAGATTTTAAGAATTACGGAAATGGATTCGTATTCCTAAACCAAATCCTGTTCAAACTGGCCAAAAAGAGAAAAAGGGAAATCAACCCAAACCAACACATGGTGCTTTAATAAAGTTTGCAATGAATGCAACAGAATGAAACAAAAGAGGTCATCTGAGGTGTTAGGAGCTTTTAACTTTTACCATGCACAAACTTGAGAGCAGTCAACTTGTTGCACTGACGGTTTTCATCAAATTTACTAGTTTGAAATTTTCAATCCATAAAAATCAAATTACTGATTTTCCAAACAAGCCAATAGGTAACTCTAAAATAGAAAAGTGACATGTAGAAACATTTCATAAGACCCCCTGACGTATGTGGGATAAAATGTGGTAATGCTTTTTTCCCCCCAATGCACGGTTGTATGCGCTGTGGCGTTATTGCAGGTCATTCCCTAACCAACTGGTCAGGACGTGCGTGCTCTTGGCAGCCGTTTGCTGACAGAGGAGCAGCAATGTGTCTTAGAAAGGCTATTCAATGACTGCCATGCCTGATCTGATCTGGGTCAAAACCCAGGAGAATCAGGACCTTGTCAAACGTAACACCTATTTACAGCCTAAAGGTCTTTTATCCAAGGATCTGAAACAGCTTTACAACTACCTGGAAACTCTTATATCATCACTGTAAGGTATTTAAGAATAAATCCCATTTTCCACGTCTAAGATGAGACTGAGAGCAACTGAATAGGTTGCTCCAAAACAAAATAAAAAACCCCACCCCCAAACCACAGAGCAGGTCAATGAAAGGACTTCACTTAAGTTTCCTCTCCACTGAATTTTACAGTGACCCCAAGAGAATAAAACAGAAAGATGGCTAGTTATACCCAATATTAAGAATACACACCCTGACATAAATTCCTCAAAGTTTATGTATTTGGCCATACATGTAACACGCTAAACCTTTTCCTGGATACACTGTATGCCACCAAAGCCTTCACAACAACATTTTCTACATTGTTTTATAATTCAGTTCTTTGCTCGCACCTTGGTTCTGTTTTTATTCAGTTTTAGGAACATATCAAAAGACCAATTTTATTCAACATAGAATTTATATTAGATGGCCAAGACTTCATAAATTATCTAGTAAAGGACAGCATGAAAATCTATTCAGTATTATATTGGTTAAACTTCAGACTAAAGCATAACCAGTAAATGAAAAAATCTACCACGCAAGACTAAGACAGTAGTCACTCTTTACACGCCAGCACCTACCACCCTAAAAAACATTGGAAACATATCCAAAATACTACTTCATATAAGTTAACATGAAGCTGGCCACCTACACTACAGCTCCATTTTGTCCTCAATCTACACAGAAACTTTTCATACACCAGGACTAACACAAAGACCAATTTTACCTCACTTTTAAGGCAAATGCCTATAGGGAGATGAAAAGAAATAAAGTGACAAGAGTATTAGTATTATTCGCAGGGATGGGAAAAAGTGGTAAACCCCAGACTTTTTTTTGTTTTTGTTTGTTTGTTTGTTTGTTTTAAGAGAAAACCCTGGATTTTCTCTTTTTTAGGAGAAAAACATAGGAAGAGGTAGGTTTCCCCTTGCAGGCTGGCAGAATTCCAGCCTGCAAGGGGGTGGAGGGAGCAGGAGGACGGCAATCAGCACACGCCACAATGTATATGTACGCATGCACATGGTAGGCAGGCAGCTTGGACAGCAGTTCCTGCAGCTCCCCACAGGTAAGTTGGGGGTGGAGGGGACTGAAGCCCCCATAGTGACAGAAGGAGTTGAGCTGGGCTGGGGCTGCTGTCCAGCTGGGATTGTGTGTAGGACTTGGGGCCTGGGACCATGTGTGGCCACAGGGCCTCGGCAGGAAGGAAGATGGAGATGCAAGAGGCTTAGCCAGAGGGTAACTGGGGGGCTGGCTCCCCACCACTGCATGCACTCCTGGGGGGGCATGTGCTCCCCAGATCTGTGCACAGGGCAGGGGCAGATACAGGCTGGTGGCTGTGGGCTTGGGGCTCCCCACCCTGCACCCATCCCCCCCGAGGCCTCTTCAGCCAAGCAGGCTGGACCCAGCATTGCAGGGAAGAGTGGGGCAGGGAAGCTCAGTGCTATTGCCAAGAGCCCTGCACCACCATGATGAGGTGCCCCCTGCCCGCCTGGCAGCAGCAGAGGCAGCAGTGCAGAATCGTGTCTCCAACTGCTGCTGTGTGGGCAAGGGGTGCCTCACCATGGCAGCATGGGGCTTCCAGGGGCAGCATCAAACCTCGCCACCCTGCTCTGCCCTGCTGCACTGGGCAGCCCACATCCATCTCCCCCCCTGCTCCACCACGGGCTCCATTCCAGGTACACCGCCCACAGGAGAGGGGAAGTCAGGTTCCACACACTGTTCCACCACAACAGCCAGGGATCAGGTGCTGCTGGAGGGGCAAAAGGCCACGGACCCAGGTCCCTGGCCCCACAGCCCTGACAGGTGGGGGTCCCCTCTGGCAGGGCTGGGGGAGGGGGACAGGGGGCTGTGGGTGGGGAGCAAGGGGTACCAGTAGTGCCCAGGGTCTGTGGGTGGGGAGTGAGGGGCGATGGCACGAGCAGGACACCAGCATATCAAGGCTGCTCAGCACCACAAACCAGTGAGGGGAATAGCTGCAGGTGGACCCGCATCCTGGTGAGCGAAGAGGGCACGGAGAGCTCTTATTTTCTGTGATAAAAAGCACAAAAAAAAATGGCAGAATTTATAGGCATTTAGAATGTATTTTATTGCAGTGATTGAGACACTGGTAGGCTTCCAAATTGCTTTAAAATTGTAAATATATCAATAAAATATTGGCTTCAACTGATACCTATATATATAGCGGCATTTCATCTTAAATCAGGGAAAAATGTATATTTTGGGGGTTTTAAATCGTAGAACTTGTGTTTTTTTTAAATAGATCATTTGCAATTTTTAAAACAGATAAAGCCAGGATCCCTGATTAGTAACACTATTGCCTGAGATAAATGTATTGCATTCTCCAGCACAAGACAAATCCTATATGAAAATCTTAGTGGCATCTAGATCCTCTCCTTCCCCTACAAAACAAACAAGGTGAAAAACCCCAAACCTGCTGAAACTGCTGTCTTGGACACTGGCCAGGGCTGGTGATGACTTTAGAGTAATCTCAAGTGGCTACTTTGTTTCCTCCCTATTCCATTGTCTGTTTCAATTGCCTCTTGTCCAAAAAAGCTATTTGGGGCAAAGATCCTCCTTCCTTTAATGCTTTTAGATAGTCCCAAGTCTGTACAGTGAGACCGCAAACTTTGTACTGAGACCTCCCGATATCACCAGAATGTAAAAAATAAAACCTCGATGCTCATTCTACCACCAAACTTCAATGCATGCTCAGGTGACACCTACAAGGACTGGCTTGAAATTTCATATCTGCTATGACCAGCATGAAATTCATCCAAGTTACCTCTCAAGACACATAGAAATTTTAATGAGAAGCAGAAGTTATGCCTCCCTTCCCAACAGATTTGGAGCCAGTCACAGGAACAGAAGATTTGAAAAGCAATGAAAAGTTTTGTACCACTACTTTTACAATAGTATCTTTCAACTATTTTATTC